ACGTGTGCAAATAAACATGGCCCGGTTTTTTGGTTTTGGGTTCCCTTTGACCAAGGTGAAACGGGTACCCTCAAAAAGTTGGTTGGATGTAGCTGGTCTTTCTTGTGGTCAAAAGAGCCTCTTTCCTGGCGTGGTTGGTCCAAAGACACCCGCGCGGGCGATCCGAAGTCCCGCGAAGTCAGAAAAGGACGGAAGGGAAAAGGCCAGAAAAGGTCTGCGTGCCCCCTCCAGAGACCAACATTGAGGGGTCAACCCGTGACTAAACGGGAGGTAGTTCCCATGGAAAACCATGTTTTTTAAACATATGCCCTAAAACGCAAGTTTTCGTGGCAGAGGGTTGAAGAAATACTGTGGATGGACAAAATCTGCTTCGCACCTAGTTGGGATTGGTGGTATATCTTCCAGGATTCTCAGGTTTCATCCATCCCAACTGGGCCGAAGTTGATTTTGTCCAGAGTAGGTGTGTCCTTTGTGGAGGGGGAGCCCCTCTTGTCCAGGATTGGTTTAGGGTGGTTTAGGCTGTGTTTGAGTTGGTCTGTGGGTTCAGGGTTGGCTTGGGTTTGGTTTTGGGTTGGTTTAGGGTAGATGTAGAGTTGGTTCAGCGTGGTTTGCAGGTGGGTTTGGGTTGGTTTAGACTTGGTTAGGGGTTGGTTTTGGGAAGGTTTTCGGGGTAGGTTTAGGGCAGCTTGATTGGTTTAGGGTTGGCTTGGGGTAGGATGTGGGTAGGTTTCGGGTCTAGAGACGATTTAGGCTTGGACTTGGTCCAGGGTTGGTTTGAAGGCTTCCCGAATCTGACCGTGGATGTTTTTTCTTCGGCTCCCCTTCAAACAAAACCCAGAAAGCGTGTCCTTCGAAAATGGGTCGCATTTCGGACGCCAAACTTTAAACTGCAATTGTCAGTTGATGTCCACGGCCAGGCGGCAGTTCGATGTAAGGTTTGCAATGAGATACATGTTTGGCCCAAATTCAGACATATGCAATGGGGTCCGCTCAACGTGCAAAAGCCAGGGACAGAGAGTCATGTGGATTGCAGCTTTTTGTGCCCCAAGGTAGTGACTAACCAACCCTGACCACGCTTACCGATTTCACAAGACATGGCAATGTGTGCACACCGCCCAACCCCGAATCATTGCCGGGGTCTCCTAATTTTCAGACAGCCTCATTTTGCTTCACAGGCGTGTACAATGGCCACCGAGCGAACGGCTGGAAAACTCGTGAAGCTCTACCCTCGCATACCAAGTTTGAGACTCCTGATTGGTTGTGGGTCCTCCAAAAGGCTTGCTTGAAGCGTCCGGGCTCTCCATTGAAAGGGTTATGAGCATGTATCTCATATATCAACTCCGCTCCTTTTTAGGACAAACTCTACGAAGCCTCGGTAAATACATCGCCAGTCGAAAGGTTTGCGATGTCGCCCACGAAGGTTTCTTTGGGGTCCCCTATTTTCGGTTGGTGAATGGAATCATTTTCCCTGATAATTTCGGTGAGGGGCAGAAAAACACTTCGCATGTGTTGGTGGACTATCCAAGCTCCATGGGGTTCCATTCATCCCAACCAATGCTGATCAGCGTGGAGTTTTTCAACCATTCCCAGTATTTTGATATGCTTGACCACCTGCACGCTTTTGGGAACCCAAAGAATACCACTCATTTTGAGGGTAGTTCTGTCATTTTGAAGCAAACGTTTTTTTGGAGGGTACCTGTGTTTGCGTTTGTTTTGATGGGGGGGGTCCCCTAAGAAGACACCCATATCTACCTTGGAAGCGAACCCGTAGGGTACTGGCCATGGACCGTGTGACGCCTTCGCAGCACGAGCCTTTCTGGCGCCTTCGCGTGGAGGGCCGCCGGGCTGTGGAAGTTCCGGCTGGGGGCTTCGGCTCGACGATGCTGCTGGCGGGGGGGCGGGCGGGGGGTGGGGGGAAGGATGTCCATCAAAGGTTTGTATATATACATATATATATATAGGCTTTGCTATACCCCCAATTCAAATAGGTAGAAGAAGCACCTACACGTTTTTTTTCTTCTTGGGGGGGACTTTGGGCACTGCTGAGATGCGTGTCAATTTTAATTGGAGATCCTCTGGTAGACATGATTTAGGTTGGGGTTTATGTCCATCAACCATTTGGTTGGGTATTCCTCATTCCAATTCATTGGGAAGCCAACTGTTGGATCAAAACGGGTGCAGGCGAACGGAACCCGCTTTTGGGAACCTGATAAGGCTTTGGCGGGAGAATGCTTTGGGCAGGGTTGGGCCAAATAGTTGTGCTTCACATGTCACTTTGTTGAAACAGCCTCCTCTCGGTTAGGGAACCCGGGTTTGGTTGCTTACACAAATTGTCAAGAGCTCACTTTGGGGGGTAAGACAAACTCACCCATGATGGCCTTTGCTTGGGACTCTTTATTTCTGCATGTTAAATCTGCCCCAACTCTGACCCAGGCAAAGTATTGACCCCAGTTGAAAACAGGTTAGCAGGGGGTGGTGCTTTTTTTGGGTCACTGTCTCAGCCCCGCGTCTGGAGGTGAAGTGGCTGAAGGACCAGCAGCTGCGAAAGCGCCTGGACGAGGCCACCTACCAGGCGGCGATGAGCTGCGGCCAGGGCCCCAGGCGCCTGTGGGGATCCCGGTTCGCGCCGAAGCGGTACTCACCTGGCGCCCGGAATTGTTTGCAATTAAGTGTGTCGTGTTGACGGGGGTGGGTAAATACCCGGCAAAAGTGTGCTAACCGCAAGTACAAATGAGCAACAGCTAGCAAGCGGCGGGGTCTCATACCTGGTACCTTTTAGTAGGCACTTCTTTCTAAGGGTGGAAAAATGGGGACTTACGCATGCCTTTGGAGGACACCCCAAACACACCGCCTGGGGGAAGACTGAAATAGACCAACGCTGGGATCGTTGGTGCGTGTGTGTTGTGTGTGTGTGTGTTGTGTGTGTGTGTGTGTGTTGACTATAGTATTGCCATGTATTGCCTCTTGGGGCATATAGTAACAACTTATATAAACTTATGTTGCCCGCTGCTGAATTAACCTTGGGTGGTCCCCTTTTGATTGCATTGGAACTCGCCCCCCCCCCCCCCCCCCCCAACTGGAAACTTCAATCGGGGAGGGGGGGAGGGGGGCCTTTGGGCGGAAACAAGCCAACAAACGTATTGATATTTTTGTAGGGGATCCGAGGCCAAGGCAGTGACCGATGTGGTTAGTAGCGAGGCACCCTTTGCCCATGGCCCACCCAAGGGTTTGGGTTGCTAAGTCCTTGCGGGGAAATAAGGCCACCTTTTGCGGCCAACGGGCGTAGCGTTTGGGCTTTGGGAGGAGTAAGTTAGGACCTTTACTGCGTCTCACGCAAAGCGACGTGCCCTTTGGCCTTTGCTACAAGGTGAACCATGGCGGAGAAAAACAGAAGCCATCCGAAGGTCTACGCATCTTTCGAATTGGTGGTCAGGGTTAGGTGTGGTCAGGAGTGGCTTCGCATATCCACAAAAACCCAGGCTTCAACTCACCTTTTTTTGGTTTGACAGCATGAGCCAAAGGATTCACCTAAACCAAGCACCAAGCAAATTCAACGGGAACCTTCTGGGGGCTTCCCTACAAGTTAACATGGAACCGAGAAAGCGGGGGGTCATCCAAAAGGGGGTTCCTCTACATATAATGGTTTTGGGTTCCATGTTAAGCCTCGGGGTCAGGGGAGAAGAAAGGTGAATGTCGCCCCGAGACAAATCAACCTGGTGGTCTTTTTTTGTTAAAAAAAAACGGATCCAAATTGATCCAAAACGATCCGGGGTTTCGCGAGGCTAAGGGGTTCAACTTCGCACCAAAGAGCAACCTTCTTACCAGCAGGAGAGGATTCCAAAGGTCGCTCGTGCCAAGGCCCCTGTTCGACAGGAAGCCAAGAAGCAAATGATATATCATGTTCATTGGGACGTTCCACAGGAAACCACCATCACAAGAGGAAAAACATGTTCTGTGATGACTCAATTGGTTGACCGAGCTCTTCAGTGGATTCTACATCCTTGTGCCCAAACCCTTGCTGGCTCTCAGGGAATGACCACAAGGTTCTCAGAGAACGACCCTTCGGTTTTGGGGGACGCAGGAATGTTCTAGCAAACCACGAGTTGGATGGTTCGGGGGTTCTTTCACCGCCTATCGAGCCAATTCGCGGCGCCAGGTGGCGCCAAGCGCTGGACCTCTTGTCGGAGATGCAGCGCCAACAGCTGCAGGCCGCTACGCACGGAGCCGTTTGTTGGCTCGTGGGGCGGGGGAATGGCCCCCCACATCCCGCTGGACATGTGTGCTTTTTCGGATTTTGTTGACTTTCCAAGTTTGTGTCTTGGCTACGTCGCATTCACAGTACCCCGCCCCCAATCTGAGAACCACATGCACCCACCAAAACTGATATGAGGGTCTAGCTGCTTGCTAGTGGCTTGCTCCCGTTGCTAAGTTTTGTTTCAAAGTACCCACAACCCTAGTCGTTTAGGCCTTTATATTCCCCTCTTTCCCCTCACCCACTTATCCTCCCTGTACCCCCCGCACCCTAGCTACAGGGGTTTACAGGAGTTTACAGGAGTTTACAGGGCATACAGGGGGTTACAGGGGTTTGCAGGGGTTTACAGTGTTCCCCCCTCCCCCTTGCAAGAGGCGCGGGCCGCCTTTTGCACAGCGGCGCTTTCCGCCTGCGCGGGCGAGCCGCTCCGCGCGCCTCCGCGCACGGCGGCGGCGCGGCTCCTCCGCGCGCCGCGTGGCCAGAGAGTTTCGATGGAAACCGAAAACGGGTTCCAACAAAGCCTGTGACACTGTCGAGGCAAATGGGGCCCCCGACTATCTCTCCAGATTTGAGCTCAGGGGCTGACTTGAATGGTAAAAGCACCGAATGACTCCATGAACAAAATGCCTCACGGTGAACATGAGGCATGAGATATGGGTTCTCCAAATTGGGCAAGCATTAGCTCATTTGCAGATCAGCAGGAAACGAGGGAACCCCGATCTGAATCATTTTGTTTCGTAGGGTCGTGGGGGATCCCTAGGTTCATTCCCCAGAAATCCGGTTGATTCTTCGAGACCTGCGCGCTCAGCCCACGGAGGATGCTGCGCTGGTCCATGCGGCCCTACGACGGTACCTACGCCGCCCTCGCGGGCCTTGAGGCTTGGCCAGAGGCTCTGGACCGGCTGACGCGGGCCAGGGCTGCTGGGGTCAACAGGCGGGGGCTATGACTTTGAGGGTGCTCGAGAGTGCTTGAGAGTGCTTGAGAGTGCTTGAGGGTGCTTGACGGTGCTTGGGGCGTGCTTGCTTGCCGTGTTTGCAAGTTCCCCAAGCCGTTTGCGCCAGGCTCCCTCGCACCCGCGGCGCCGCCGCCGACGCCGCCGCGTCAGGCGCCGACTGGCGCCTGCCGCTGGCGGTGCTCTCCGATGCTGCAGACACGGCGGGGGCGCCCGCGCCCGCCGCGTTCCGGTGGGTGGGTGCAGGCGCGCGCGTGGCCGCGTGGGCGCGAGGCTGGCACTGGCACGTGGCGCTGCAAAACTACGAGGAGCCCGGTGGTGGGTGGGGCGGACATTGCAGGTGTTACACTCCTGCAGAAGAAACGCACATCCATGTTAATCAGTTGTCTTGGGAGTAGAGCTGTTTTGCAAGGTTCTTCGTGGCACATTTCCAACCAACTTATCTTTGGAGCTTTTGGACAATCACGAAGGCTGCCCTACTAATTGACAACGACCTCACAATTTCCTGCTAAATAATGGTTGAAAGGGAAGCTCTCCTCACCAAGGCAAATGTGAGGGCAAAATGCACTTCGCACCAGTTGGTAGCTGACTATCCCACTATTCACAGGGTTTCACCCACGCGCCCGGCGTGGATTTATCCATTCACAGTACCATGCGCAGCATTGGTTCAACCATGCTCGAACAAGGCTCTGCGGTCGGGCCGAACTGGTTCCAACCATCAGACCGTGTTCTTCTTTATCATGTTGACTCCAGATTAACAACCCCCACCTATTCATAGGGGGGAGGTTTTCCCAAGTGATGATGCCCCAAAACCAGGGACAAGCCCGCTTAATAAGCTGGGGTTGATTCATCCGGGGTTAGCATCACCAGAAAAAGGGTTGTTTCAACAATTCCCAGGCGAGTCTGGAGCACCTCCCGGATCGGGAGCGTGTCTGCAAGCAGCTCATCCGCGGATGCAGCCACAAGGAGCAGGGCTGGAGCGAGGCGGGGCTCTTCTAAACATCCGCGCCCAAAAATGGTAAGCATAGGTCAGGGTCCCTTAAAGGGCACAAGTGGGGGCTAGTAAAAAACACGCAACTTGCTGGTTTCAGTTTGGCTCATTCATGTACCCATGCATCATGTACCAGTTGATTCCTCTTTGTTTCCATGTGCCTGTTCAGAAGCCCACAAAGAGTTTCCCACAAAGGGCTTCCCACAAAGGGCTTCTCCCAAAGGGCTTGATTGAGAAGCGAAGATCACTTGCCAAACAACTTCAGCTTTCCATGATGGACGATCTCCCGATGGTGGTTTTGAACATGGATGACTTGTTCCCATGGATTTCTGAGGGGGGGGGATTCGGTATTTTCGAGGGCAACCAGAAAACAGCTTTCAGGAAATCTGGCCATCAAGGTGTGCAATCAAGGAATCCCCGATGTAAGAAGCATGGCCTTGAGCGCCTTTGCAGGCACCCGCGTAGCAACTGCGTGGATGGTTCATCGACCCTTGGTTCGCAGGACTGCGGGACCCCTGTTAGGTCGCTACAATTCGCCTCAATGGCCCCCCCCTTTTGGGATGGTTTCCGAACCCCCCAAGAAAGATTAGACCAAGGATGCGCTTTAGAATGAAAGTGGGTTCCGCAACCCCCAGTTGCCTCCATCAGTCCGGGAGAGGGTTGACCCCAGGTGCTGAAGATGCTCGACGCCATGTACGACGCCGAGCTGCGGCCGGACGGGGAGGTCTACGAGGCCTGCGCTTTCGCCTGCGCTGCGGCGAAGGAATGGGCCTGGGCAGTGCAGCTCTATGAGGCACGGCACAGGGCAGGGGCGATGGATTGGTCTTATTTGGGTTTTGTTTTGGTTTGGCTTGGCCTGGTTTGGCTTGGATTGGTTTGGCTTAGTTTGGTTTGATTCGTTGTTTATTCTGTTTGTTTTGTTGGTTGGTTGGTTGGTGGGTTTCTTTGGTTTGGCTTGGTTGGGTTAGGCTGGGCTGATTTGGTTGGGTTGAGTTGGGTTAGTTTGTTGTGGTTTGGGTTGGTGTGTTTGGTTGGTTGCGTGTTCTGTTTGCTTGTTTGCGTGCTGCTTGTTTGCTTGTTTTGTTTGCTTGTTTGTTCGTTGGTTGGGCGGGCGGTTGGGTGGGTTGGGTTGGTAGGGTTGCGTTGGGCTGAATTGGGTTAGGACGGGTCTATTGGGTTGAGAGTGGTTTTATGTGGTTTGGTTGCTTGGTCGGTTTGGTTTTGTTTGGGTTTGCTTGACTGACTGTCTGTTTCTTTCTTTGTTTCTTTCCTTTTTTATTTTGCGCTTTCTTTTTCTTTGGTTTTGTTTTTGTTTGTTTGATTGTATTTGGTTTGTTTGCTTGTGTGCTTGGATTTTTCCTTGCTTGCCTGCCTGCCTGCCTGCCTGCTTCCTTCCTTCCTTCCTTCCTTCCTTCCTTCCTTCCTTCCTTCCTTCCTTCCTTCCTTCCTTCCTTCCTTCCTTCCTTCCTCGCTCGCTCGCTCGCTCGCTCGCTCGCTCGCTCGCTTGCTTGCTTGGTTTTCTTTTGATTTTGGTTTGCGTCTCTGTGTGTGTGTACCCCTGTTCCTAAGGGGCTTTTCGGTGTCCTTTTCTTCTTTTCTCTTTTTTCGGAGTCGGACGCCACCTCCTTGCATGATCAGGCGTGTAGTAGTCAAGCCGGTGATGGCGTCCCTGAAAAGGAAGCCTGCTTGATGAACAATGTCCTGTCTAGCTCGGAGTCGAACTCCATTGCCCTCGCGGAGACCCTCAAAGCTGGCACATGGGATGCGCCGCGGGTTCACTGTCTCCCATCAAGTGTGTTCCGGCACTGCTTCCGAGCCACGGTCAGTGTCGTGAACCCTTCGAGGCACTCGATTTGTCTCATGCGCAGGCCTTCTCTTCTGACCTTTACCGATTGACCTTTACCACTGACCTTGAAGACCTTTATCGCAGACCTGCACCACTGATTTGGACCTTTACCTGACGTCAAAGCATCCCAGGATCGGGCCTTGTTTCACCCGAACCTTATCGAGAACCCCCAGACACTCCCAGCTTCCTTTTCAGACCCGCATTCCGTCATATCTGGCTCGCTTGCGACGGCCCCTGATGAGGCGTCCTGGCGCAAATTCCTCTTCGGCAGGGCCCACACCTCGCCGTTCGCCGGTGGCAAGCACTCGATCTCCGTCTTGGGCTCTTCTTCGGCAATCTGCGCTTTTCAGCGGTCGCTCCAAAGGCTGACCTGCCGACTCCGTCTCCATCGACAGACCTTGACATATATGCGCTGTACCGCCTCTCTGGAAACGTGGAACAACCTCATCGGCACCACGCTCAAGCGCATCTTCACGCTCAGACGACTCCAGCCCCCAAGTTCAATCGCGATCTACGCCTTCCGTCGCTCTCTCACCCGGACTACCAAATCACCACACAAGGTCTTCTGCGACAGCTGCTACTTCACCATCGCGGGTGGGCACTCCCGTTCCACATCCCCAGCACCAAGCTCGCTGAAACACCGCGCCCCAAGGTGCGCTCCGTCCTGTGGAATTACGACAAGCCCGGGACACCTACACCTCACCGGCACTGGGCCGGACGCGTGCGCGTGCGCCGCATGGCTACAACGACAACCGTGGCTGTCCAACATCTAGGGCCACGTCGCCGCAGGTCTGGACGAGCTCAGGTTCCCCGACCTGCCTTCACATGTGCTCTACACCTCTGCCCTTGCTTCGTATTATGTAGACGCACCGACTTGTGGGCAGTGCACGAGTGCCTGCAACACAGTCTACCGTTGGATCAGTTTCACGCGCCCTTGATGACCCTCCTCAACACCCAGTACCAGCAACACGCCCGTCACGCCCGAAGACACCAGCTACTCACAAAACATCAGCTCAACATCATCCATCGCCACCTCCATCAAGGTTTCGCGTGATGACAACCATCACCTCATGCTCTAGTCCGTGCATCTACTTCCAAGGTATCCAACGCACTTGGCAGTCCCCAAACGCATCTGCAAGAAGCACAAGTGGGCCTATCGCAAGCAGATGCGCAGCCACCCCGGTGGGCAAGGTCTTCCTCAAGTGCAAGAAGGACTGGAAGTCGGGCCGCACCATCGTTGCCAGTGGTTCACCGGAGGAGCTCGCCAACGACACCTGGTCGGAGTCATGGTTTGCGCCCCGCCCCCACCGTCTGGCGCAATATAAAACGCCACTTTGCCGAGACCGACGAAGATGTGGAACTCTCCTTTCGCAATGATGACCTGGTCGGCTTCTTCAACAGCGTTCCCCAGGACCAAGTCTGCGCATTGGTCTCCCAACAGCGGCAACCTGGCTCCACCTACTCAGTAGAAACGCTGCGATCATGTCACCACAACCGAGTCTTCATTGGCAAGCAGTCGTACCGTCGCACACCCACAACCCAGATTATCCACCTGGAGGATGTTATGGACATCCTGAGTCCAGCTTCAAGGCGATGTACGTCCAGATCGGCTCAGTTTTCCGTGAAAGGTCCGTCATGCCCCCCACAAAAAATCTCGGGGCGTCATGGTCTGCCTCTCGCAGCCGTGCTGGACGCGGACTTCTACTGGGCAGTTCCGAGTTCTTGCGCTTCTACATCAACGTCAAGGACCGCTCGATACACAACAAAGCTCCGACGCGGCTTTGGCAAATCAGAGGACCATACACAGCTGGCAGCCTCAGCAACCTGCTCTCCAGTGCACGCTCCAGGGCATCTACCGCGTCAAAATATTTGCATCCCGCAGAGGCAGTGCAGACAGCAATGGATCAACTTATGCGCATCTACTCAACTGCAGGGTGCAGTCAGGCGAGTCTGCAGCCCTTGTTTCACCTTCCGGGCAACCCGAACAAAAACACGCGCCTGAGCCTTGCCTTCCTTGTGTGTGTGTCTTGCGTTCGGGCCCCTCTAGGAACCTTGCGTTTGGAAAAAGTTTGTCGCCCCTCTTTTTCCTTGACTTTTTGAAGCCCGTCAACGTGTCCATGCCACGCTGCGGCTGCAGCAAGCAAGTATATATCTGTGGCGTGCCTTAATGCTTGCTGGCCAGTCATCAACAGCTTCTTGTGCTCAAACAACTTGCCAGTGAACACGGTTTTCTAGCAGTACGTAGACCTGCGATGCTCTCGCGTATGGTTGCCCTTCATCATCAGATGACTCAGAGCTCTACGGAAGTGATGGCCCTCATCCAGGAGACCCCGAATCAAGCAGACGATGGCTCTCCCAAACCACCTGCAGCAAGCGGAAGCGCGGCCTCACTTCCCCAACGACTCCGAGATTCTTGCTTCTCCTCCCTCTCGCCTTCGAATTTCAGGGCACCCTTGTCTTCCCGGAATCGGTCCCGGAGGCCCACGACAACACGAACTCTATCAATCCGGTGTATGACCCCTTCCTGGCGCTGGTTCGGATTTGGGCTGAGGAGGATGACGAGCAGCTCCGCACCCTAACGGGCGACATCAAGTCAAAGTACTCCTACAAGGCCATCAGTCTCGAGAGAAAGAGAGACAGAGAGACAGAGAGACAGAGAGAAAGAGAGACAGAGAGATAGAGAGACAGAGAGACAGAGAGAGAGAGAAAGAGAAAGAGAAAGAGAAAGAGAAAGAGAAAAAAGAGAGAGGAAGACGTCATGCAACGCTGGAAGACTCTTGAACGCATCCGGAAGAGCATGTAGTACTGCACCGTGGTTGTCTTCGGCACCCCTGTGGGCCCCCTTTTGGGTTGCGTGTTTGGGCCTCTTTCTTTTTCTGTTTCTTTGTCCTGTTGTTCCCTTTCCATTGTTGGTTCGGTGACCCCCCCCCCCAGAGGGAAAAACACAAAAAAAAAAAACAGAAAACTGTGGTTCTGTCATGCTGAGCATCTTTGTCTATCCGGTCAGCCATCTCTATACCGAGCAATTGCTTCGCTTCCGACATGTTGGGTGGTTTCCTCGGCAACTCGGAGCCCTGCGTGGAGTACAGAGTCGACTACGCTACTCGCAAGGAACAAGTCAACATCTTCAACAAGAAGCGCTGCATCCTAGCTGACCAGGCCAGCAGTCTACCTTGCTGGAACGGATCTGCAGGCTATGCCTGGCACCTTCTACCGCGACTGTCCATGCGCTCCTCATCCCCAGGAGTGACACGATTCCTACGGCCAGGTCTTCGGCTCCAACGTCAGCTGCTCCTGGCACGGCAGACCAGGCTCCAGTGCGACCAGCCATCTTGAAGCCTCCACCACTACTACCTCCTGATGTAACAGCCTCTATCTTCCCGGTGAGTCAATCAGCGACTGACGTGGATCAGATCTCACCTCTACCTGCGAGCTGAGCGACTCTTATGGGCCTCAGCGATACCGACCCTATGGACCGTCCTCAAGTGAGTCCAACTGCGTGCAGCAGGCAGGCTCGTGGATGTATAGGCGCGCAGTTGATCAAAGTCACAATATCCCATCGCATTGCAAGATGGAGGCGCGTCTTTCTTTTGTTCCTGTTTCTTCGTTTGTTCTTTCCCCCCCTTCGGGGGTTGTGTGTGTGTACCCCCTGTTCCTAAAAGGCTTTTGGGTGTCCTTTTAATTTATTCTCTTTTTTTGGAGTCGGACGCCGTGTAGTAGTCAAGCCGGTGATGGCGTCCCTGAAAAGGAAGCCTGCTTGATGAACAACGTCCTGACTTGCTCGGAGCCGAAACTCCATTGCCCTCACGGGGACCCTCAAAGCTGGCAAGTGGGATGCGCCTCGCGGGTTCACTGTCTCCCATCAAGTGTGTTTTTGAGGGACTCCAAGCGGCAAAAGCCAGACACTTTAGGAGTGTTTTCTTGTTTGTGCGTGTATGGTTTTTGGGGATATGTTTTTCACTGTGGATTAAAGGGAGACCAAGCCAAAAATCTCCTTTGCTCAGCCAGCCCCAATTCAGCCCACGTCGGCTCGGTGCCGAAAGCTGTGGTGTCCGCAAAGAGGCCGTTTAAACAAGTTTTTAAACATGTCTAAAGAGGGCGGATGACCAATCCTCACACGGCTGCCGTGCGTTTTCTCAGAGTTTGGAGCTGGGTTGTATGACATATGCCACTAACAGTGTGAGTGTTGGCAAAGTTTGGCAGCGTTTAGCATTCGGGAGATGCTTTGGGTGCGACCGATCCCTTGCAGGATTGACAGAGTACATACGAAAAAGTGACGAAGATGGAGAGGAACAGCTAGAGGGCATGTGGGACATTTGTTTCAAATTCCGCGGGTGACCAAACCTTCCCTTTGGGTGGCGTTCATTCTTCATGGCAACAAGTCCGAACCTTCGGAGGAGACAGGACCCAGGAAGGTTTTCAGGATTCAACCGAGATTCTTCCGAACCTTCTCCGCGTGGGGCAAAGGCAAAGGGCTTTTGTTTGCCATTCCATTCTTATTCTTAGTGAGGAATATGATCCAGCATACATGGCTCATGTAGGGAATGGTTGGGCCCTGGTTGATTTGTAGCCATTAATTCTGACTGAATTCTGGAGGACCAGGCACTAAGGGGGGGGCAACTTTTTTGGTGTGGTTCACACATGTGTCCATACTGTCAAGAAACAAACCTAGTTGCTAACTAGCCCATTTGTTAAAGTCTTTCCTAAATGAGGCCCAAGGGGTATGGATCATTGTTTTGTCCTGGCCGCCACACGTAAATGGCTATTTCATTACGAATATGTCTCTGACTTGATTCGGTTTTCAAGAGTGCACACCCATTGTAATTATTTGCAGCCCTAATCTTCCCTCAAGGAAGCCAAAAGCGAATGGATCACTTTCCAGTTCTTCCAGAGCGAGCAAACCACCCACCTCTCACATGAAGCCTACCCCAGCCAGCTTTTGTCGCCGCGAGGAGCTGCTTTTCAACAACCTGCGGGCCTCGCCCAGTCTGGAGGCCCTGGCGTTGGACGCCCAAGCCAGGCTCACAGGCGACGCGTCGCAGCCTTCGGCTCTGATGGAGTCGAAGGCCGAGGGGTCCAAAGTCCCTGTGGATTGACGAAAGCCGAGGTACCACTTTCGCATTGCAGGGGAAGCATCATTCCAGAGTTCTTAGATGGTGAGGGATTCGCCCATCGTAGGTGTGCCTTTTCGGAAGCGCACCATGTTGGCCCATAAGTTTCCCTGGTGTTCGAACGCCAAATTTGTTTACGCCAAAGACGGTAGTCGAGGGGATGACTCAACTGACTCAACCATCATGGGGACTGTACACCATGGATCCAATTCGACCCTTCTTCAAAGGGAAAGGTAGAATGACATGGTTTAAACACTAGTGATCTAAAGATGTTCAAGCAAGGCGTCGGCCCTACCCCTGTGCTCAGGGGCTGGGCTGAGAAAACCGACGTGCAGCGACCGCTCACTGAGAGGTGGCAGCATCATTGCAGGCGGACCTACGATTCCCAGCGGGTGCCAGATGGGCACATGAAATTGTGACCCTGGAGGAATGTGACTTCACCCAAGCCGTCGTCTCCAAGATGCCTTTCTGTGACACCTCTGAATCCTCCAGATTGGCGATGGCTCCTTTCATTCGAATGGCCCAGGGAAATCTGGCAAGCTGAGCCGTGAACTTCCAGCGGAAGGGGAAGAGGCGGGGTGCTAACTTGTGCGAACCAACCAGCGTTCGTTTCCCTAGCGGCTTTTCCATGAACCTGACGAGCCAATTTGGGAAGCTGACTTGCACTCGGGCTCCTTTGTTTCAAACACCAAAGTTGGTTCATTGCTTGAACGACTCCTTTTGGTGTCCTCCAGGTTGTTCAAACCTTTTCCCACCATCCCCGGGAGGAGGCCGCGGCAGCCTGTCTGATCTGACTCAGCAGGCGACCCAGCAAGAGGCAGGCACAGGCACCTTCCCTTCCAACGGTGTCCCAAAAGGGGATTCGTCTCAAATGGTTTTTGGAATTCCTTTTGTTGGTATCAAGGGGAGTAGTGCCAGACCTGGATTTTGTTGATGCTCAAGCATTCGACTGCAAGTTGCGAGCAAAACGGCGCGCGGACACAGACCGGTGGGGCGGTTTGGGGGTTCATCCTATAGGAATCGCCTCTTTGACAAGTGATACCGAGAGGATGCCTCAGCCCTGGATTCGAAGCACATTTCCAGCCAAGGGCACCGGGCAGTTTGTTTAGCGTGGGTGAACGTTCCTCATGCTGTAGGCACACTTGCACATCTTTTTGTGGGTTCCCCTTTAGTGGTGACCCAAAGCGACCCGCCTGGGGGATCCACATTGGGCTAACTGGCATGTGGTGCCCATTCGGCTGGCCACTGGCCGAGTGAGTTGCCTACCCAGGCTCGCATGGATACGCATCTCGCCGCCAGCTTCACACCTCACCAGCCCTCGCCTGGCTCCGATGGCAAGGGCGTGCCCTGGCTGCTCTCGACCTCACTTTACCGAGCCTTTTGTTGAGGGTACCATTTTCGTGTGGGTTTAAAGGGACACACGAAGGAACACACAACAATTTCTGGGGGACCCCTCAAAAAAAGATGCACCCAGATGTGGCACAAATCCTTTGGAATAGGGAACTTGATCTTTTTTTAGTTGGTTTTTAAAGACCGGTGGTAGAGAAGCTCAGACTTTGGCCACTCCGCGCAAGTCAGTGGCAGGAGGTGATGCCGGCTGGAAGCTCTGCTAACAAGTTGTTCGGAAGTGTCCTTGTTTCGAGCGAACGCTTTTTCGGGGTTGGGCAGGGGAAAGCAAGAGGAAGCCCATTTTGGATGTGAGACTGCACATACGAGCGATTCAAGTGATACTGTGGATGGATGAAGTCCTGCACCAAATTGAAACCATGGGAAATTGCTTGTTGGTATTGGCAGGGGAAACATCATTCAAGGGTTTCTCAGGTGGTTCCGGATTTCGTCCAGCCACAGTAGGTTCCAAATCCAGCCCGCACGGAGGATGGACGCCCACATAGCAGAGAAGGGCGAGGACGCTTCAGACGGCAACCTGTCACAGTTTGCACACCGGTGCAACCTCAATGAAAGACATGGGTTCCCTATGTTTCCCCCTGAACAAACATCATCCCCGGGAAAAAACGAAACGGCTCCTGTTAGGCTCCTTTCAGGTGATGTCTTAACCATCCAACAAACAGATAACTTTTTGCTTTCTTCTTTCGCGTTTTTTTGGGTGGGGGGTGGGGGGTGGGGGAGGGCAAGCGGACAGGGCGTGGAAGTTGGGGCAAAGGCATGGCCTGTGACATGTTTCAACATCTTTTGCGGACGGCTCCTTGGGAGCTCGCGCTTGCAGAGAGGGGTCCATGTGGGCGTGTCTTTTTCTGAGGGTACCCTTTTGGGGTCGTTTTACAGGAAAGCCAGCGGACGCCCCATCATTTTAGGGATCCCCTGTGTTGAGACATGCTCGTGTTTATTTTCGGCCTTCATTTCCTTTAGTGCGCGTTGCCAGGTGCGAGTGTTGGGCAACACGTTCACTTGAAGTTTTAGGGCTTTTGCTGGTTCCGCTCAAAGGCTGATCATATGGAACCGTATGTTGAACCCTGGTCCATTTGTGCCCCTTCGAATTAACACACCAACACGCCAGGGGTTCATATCAGGTGTTCATGTATTGAAGGTTCTGGCCTTGCCAAGCCAAGGCATCCCTGGGCTCGATCCCAAAGAGCCCGAAGATCAGCGCTTGGTGAAGCAGATCTTCGGGTTTTGCGTCGCTGGGAGCAGATTCGCCCTGCGCAACGCTCTGCCCAAGCTCATTGCGCTGGGCTCAGCTGAGGGCAAGGGATACCCTATTTGCCCTGTTGATTCTTTGCCCTGGGTTTGGGGTCGATATCTTGAATACCAGGTTTGGAACAAGTGAGTGGATTCCGTGCCGCAAATCCCTTTTTGTTTGGGCGGGATCCATAAAAAAGGCCCCCAAGAATGTCTCCAAGGTGAAACTCTACCGTCACTGAACAAATTGAGCATTGAGTATCCGTCCCGATGAATCTGCGCGAACTGACACAAGCTCAGCGATTCAGGGGTAAAACGAGCTCAACGTGGTGGCTTTCGTTTTGTTTCCTTGTACGGCTTGGGCCCCTTGTTGAGGGACGACTCTTCAAAGCCCCACATCTTTTCCGGGCATGGTACGATCAATGGAGAGGCCAAGTGTTTTCCAGTTGGGGGACGCGCGTAAGCCAAAGACTGCCAAAAGACGTCGGCCTCGCGCACCGGATTGTTTTAGTTCCGTTATTGGGTCCGGAAACGGCAACACAGTCCAATCCTCCCCAAGCAGGAAGCTCCCATTTCCGGCGCTTTGCTTGCGCGCCTGAAAGAGGGGCTGCGCGTGTTGGCCAAGACTCCGCCTTTGTCTGGAGATACTCCCTGCAAACTCACGTCAAACCCAAGAAAGGGGGTCATTCGAAAAACGTGTGTTTTTTCTTGGTGGGGTTCTCTCAGGGCAGATTTGATCTTTTTCTGCAGCACTTCGCACATATGCTCTTTTGAGACTGAACATGGACCTAAAAAGGGCGGCACAGCCGACTCCATGTTGATCAATGCCTGATGTGTGGCTCACAAACCTGGCATCGGGAATTCGGAGCTTGTCCAGCCCGTGGAAGCTGACGGCAAGGTGTGGGAAGGCGTCTAAGGTAAGTCTCACGAGAAACACGGGGAACCCGGTATAAGGATTAGAATAAGTTTGTGGTGTAAGCCAAAATCCTGCAGGATTTTGGGGACATATGCTCTGCACAAAATGAGCCCATTTATCAGACGTAAGCCGTCCCCCTGGGACCCCCAAACCTCGGTTGGTCATGAGGATGTTTGATTGGGCTGGGCGACAGCATCTTGCATCTGATTTTCTTGCACTCAACAGTCTCAAGAGTGCCATATTTCCCAGCACCCTCGCCGACCTTTGTCATCTCATACAACTTGGTTTTCGGCTAAACTTGAAAGAACTGCTTTCAATCCCAGGTTTGAACGACCAAGAAAAGAAACACGCCCCTCTGCAGGCGCTCGGCTCCATGGGCGACCTTTTGCCACGCCTCGCCTACGCCTTGATGCGGGGCTTGGAGAGAAGCCCGCGCCCGTTGGTGGCGGAGGCTCAGGGTGTGGCGCGTCGTTTATCGAGGCCGTGTTGGGTTGGAGCGGGAAACCAAAAGGACGGCAGCCCAATTTTGGGGGAAAGTTTTGAGACAGGCCCATTTATAGTGATCCATGTCACCGAAAATAGGCCTCCTGTTGCAAGGGAACTGACTTTTGGGAAGGTGATAGGGCTCATTCTTAGGGCCCAAATTTTAGAGAGGTTCAAAGAGAACCCTTCGAAGGGCAGTCCAATTGCTCAGCCTTTGGTTCGGGCAGGACTTTTAGGGAAAAAATATATATATATATATAATATATATATATATATATATATATATATGTGTGTGTGTGTGGGAGGGGGGGGGGGGTTCACACAATTTCCTAGGAAAAGAGCACCCATGTTGGGTCATGGGTCCATGGCACATTTTTTACGGGAAAACGTGGGGGGCCTCACTAAACGTTCAACACCCTTCAGATTTTCCCGGAACCAAGCAACAACCCACCGCATGTGTGCCTTTTTTTAAACCCTGAAAGACCCTGAAACCTCTAAACGACCCAAGCAGAAGGCCCTGAAACCCTCCCCCTCCTTCGAGCCTTCGAGGCTGCCGAGCTGCTGGCGGAGGCCGCCGTAAACTTCGGCCAAAGCGCTGCTGTGGTGCCAGCGGCCAAAAGCGGGGGGTGGAGGTGGGGAGGGGAAAGGGGGTTCAAAGACAGAAGAGGTACCTTGCTAGATCATGGGGGTTGAAAGGGAACCACCCATTTTGGAGGGTTCCTCCATTTTCAGACAAACCCACATGGGAATCCGGATCACTTTTGTGGACCCCAAAAGCGGGGGTTGGAAGATGTTTCTAAGGCAAGACAGAGGGGGTGCTATTATCTTGGGGGGAGGTGTTTCGGAGGCAAAAAAGAGAGAGAGAGAGAGAGAGAGAGAGAGAGAGAGAGAGCGAGAGAGAGAGAGAGAGAGAGACTTTTTGACTTTGACTTTGATGTCGCAAGAACGTCCAAAGCGTCCCTTGCGCGGCCAAGCGAAAAAGCGCCCCTTCTCACAGGGCCTAGCAGGCGTAAACAGTGATCACCCGGCGCAAGCACGCTAGCGGTGAGACACCAAGCTGCACTTACCGCGGTAGTTTCTGATAACAAAGAATGTAACAATTGCACTCCAACAAGGCTTGCAGCTCTGGCCCACATGCTTCAGCCTGCGCCCCATCATCCGCGCACACTCAGAGCCATTGGAGGCATTCGCGGCCAAGAAGCTGCGGTAGTGACCCTGCTGAGGCCCCTGCCCCAGATGAAAGACACCTCCGATAAGGCGGTATCTGCACAATTGCACGCGGATGCCTGCCTCACTAAATGTAGGCAATGAAGCAGTGGACATGGCTCTGCAAACAATGCGATTCGCGGCCTTGCCCATGCTAGCATCGGGTGACGCGTTTGGGCTTGCGTGTTCCACTTGTCTATGCAGTCTTGTACGAATGTGGCACCTGTGGGAAATGCAGCAGCCCCGAGCCTGAATCTGTGACTTGGTCGTTCAACAACAGCCTGGATTCCCAGCTACACATGAACTCAACAGGAACCGCGAGAGCTCTGAGCAGTCCTGCTGCTGGCGCAGCCCCCTCCATCCTCGTATCGCGAACTGCCAGAAAGAAGTGCCAAGATCTGGGTTGGGGCATTACACATAGCGAGGGCTGCATGATGCATGGAGAAAGTATGCAGAACAGACCTTGCGTTCCATGGCGGCTTCTTGAGGCGCAGGCTGGCAAGCTCACGCCGGCTCCAGCAAGAACGACTGCAAGGCGCCTGGGTGGGTGAGCAGTGCATGTATTGCATCTAAAAGCAGTGCAGTTAGTGCGGGCGCGCATGGCGTGCCAACAGCCGTCTCGGACGGCTGACATGGTGCGTACAGCGTGCATGTTGTATGGCCTGCCTCGTAGCTTTGCGCGTATTAGCAAAAAGCTGTGAAGGAACGCTGTGAGCGCTCCCACCGGGCTTGAGGCGATGGGCCCGGTAACCCTCACACGCCCCGGCCTCGTGCAAATCCACCTGACTGACTGTAACTGGTGCGCGGCTGGTGCTTTTGCAGGGCCCTGTGCGCAGTGAAGGCGGTGGTAGTCTGGGCCAAGTCCAGACGTGTGCCTAACAGGCCTTGCGCGGCGCACGCTGCATCGAGACAACAAGCCAAATTGAAGCGGAACCTGTTTGCCAAAGTATAAGCATGCATATGCAAACTGCTATTGAGGTCGGGGCCCAATGGAAGCCATTCCGTTCGCAGTATCCATCTGGCATGCGTGCTTGCCCTGTCTTCCTGCCAAGTCTGCCAAACTTCCTCCAAGACAGTCAGTTGCAGAGAAA